TATTTTAAGGTGGTGACACCTATTATTTTAATTTTATATTATTAATTTATTTATAAAACATTGTTTTTATAATATATTTGCTTGTATTTTTGTTTTGTATACCTTTAATTAAAAGGTAATATCATTGGAAAGAAGTAAATTAATTGTAAATTTAATTAACACGTTAAAACACTAAATTACATTATTTTTACAAATACAGTTGCTTTTAGCAATTTAAATTGGCAGGCAAATAAAATAAATGCCCAAAAAGCCAGGCATCTATTTGGGCATTGCCAGGGCAGGCATTTATTTTCTTAAAACCCTGGTCTTAAAACATTGATTTCGATGAATGAGATAATGATTTCGATTTAACTGACAATTCGACTTCAATTACAAGATAAACAATTCGATGACTGATATATTGAATTCGATATTTAGCCATCAATCATACCGTTAGCGGCTATAAAAAAAATCCAGTGCCAACTCATGTCCAGTATTCATCACTATATCGGTTTCGGGCAAAACAAATGCTGTTTAACTGCCAAAAACAATGACAACCCTATCGGTGTCCACACCGTATGTATGACCCTTCCGGGTGAGTGTTGTCTCAGATCCTGAACTGTACGTACAGTATATATGTTCTCTTAGGGCTTAAAAACATATGTATTGAATGTTAATACAGTAAATACTTAATATTTTTCTAAATTTTTTTTATTACTATTTATATTTTAAATTTAAAAAAAAACAGATAATAGGCATTAAATAAAATATTTAAAAAAATAAAACTATTATATTTATATAATAATAATAATAAAATATATTATTTAACAAATTAAACAAGTGCAATTAATAAATATATTATTAGATTATATTGACTTTTATTTAATCATTATTATTTATCGCAGTCCTTGTGTTCAATTGGGGCTAAATAATAGATAATAATAAACTATTAATTATTATTTATTATTATTATTAGTAATTATTATTAATAGTAATTATTATTATTAGTAATTATTATTAATAGTAATTATTATTATTAGTAATTATTATTATTAGTAATTATTATTAATAGTAATTATTATTATTAGTAATTATTATTAATAGTAATTATTATTAATAGTAATTATTATTATTAGTAATTATTATTAATAGTAATTATTATTATTAGTAATTATTATTAATAGTAATTATTATTATTAGTAATTATTATTATTAGTAATTATTATTAATAGTAATTATTATTATTAGTAATTATTATTAATAGTAATTATTATTATTAGTAATTATTATTAATAGTAATTATTATTATTAGTAATTATTATTAATAGTAATTATTATTATTAGTAATTATTATTAATAGTAATTATTATTATTAGTAATTATTATTAATAGTAATTATTATTATTAGTAATTATTATTAATAGTAATTATTATTAATAGTAATTATTATTATTAGTAATTATTATTATAAGTAATATTATTAATAGCAGTTACAATTAATACTATTTTGTTCATAATTATTATTATCAAAATTTCAATGTTTTTATTAAAAAACAATTGATAATTTAATTAAAAAATTTAATTGATAATTTAGTTTTAGAATATATAATATTTTTTAAAAAAATTATTTAATGACTACTATTAAGTAAAAAAAATAATTTACAAACGGCATTTAAAACTTTTTTTTTTAATTTATTTAACTAATATCTTATTATGTTATCATAAAAACTAAAAAAATCTAAATTAAATATGGCTTTCAGCTAATCATTATTATTATTATTATTGAAATTACAATAATTATTTTATTGAGAAAATATTGAAATTAAATAATAAGTTAGTTTTAAATATAAAAATATTTTTTCCCCCAATTATTACTGTTAAGTAAAATAAAAAAATTTATAAATGGCTTTTTGAAACTTATTAAAAATTTATTTATTAACTAAATATATAAATAATGTTTTTCATAAAAACTCAAAATTTAAATTAAATAATGTCTTTCAGCTTATCTATAACTTATGGGTATTTGATATAAAAAATAACTTAAATAATAAAAAATTTATATTATAATTATCATAAAAGTTAGGGTTTACAGTGATCCCCGTGAGAGGAAAGTTTCCAAATTTTTCCGAAAAATATTTTGGTTTCCCCCTCTCTATTTCATTAGATGGGAAAATAATATATATATATATATTATATTAAATAATATCTAAAACTTTATATATATTTTTTAGTATAAAATTAATTTATAATATTAATTATTAGTATTTATACGGAAGTTATAGTTATTTTTTTAGTTTTTATTGGGAATTTACATTGAATTTACTGTGAACTTATAGATTATTTATTGGGAATTTATTGATTATCTATTGGGAATTTAGTTACTAATTTTAGTTACTCCCCATTCGCCCCCTATACCCCACTGAGATCGAAAACATTTAGCAACCCTGATATATATATATATATATATATTATACTTAAATAATATCTAAAACTTTATATATTTGTTAGTATAAAATTAATTTATATTAATATTAATTATTAGTAATTATTATTTATTAATTAATGTTAATTAATATAACTTAATTAATATTAGATGGTTGTTGTGGTGGTGTTGGTGTTGGTGTGTCTGTTGGTGTTGGTGTTGGTGTTGGTGTTGGTGTTATCTATATGGTAGATGGTTGTTGTGGTGGTGTTGGTGTTGGTGTTGGTGTTGGTGTTGGTGTTGGTGTTGGTGTTGGTGTTGGTGTTGGTGTTGGTGTTGGTGTTTGTGTTTGTGTTTGTGTTGGTGATGGTGTTGTTGTTGTTGTTGGTGTTGGTGTTGGTGTTGGTGTTGGTGTTGGTGTTGGTGTTGGTGTTGGTGTTGGTGTTGGTGTTGGTGTGTGTTGTTGTTGTTGGTGTTGGTGTTGGTGTTGGTGTTGGTTTGGTGTTGGTGCTGGTGTTGGTGTTGGTGTTAATGTTGGTGTTGTTGGTGATCCTTCAAAGCATGTTGAATTGTGTACACATTGGCCACCCGTATAGTTTAGTACATACGGTTCCTTACAAACACAACCGGACTTACACTTATATTTACAACGTAACGGTCCGATTCCGGTGCGTATATATTCACAGGTATCGCGACATAGAGCACCACATTTGGTAAACTTTTGTTTCAATGGATCGCAATCTTTGGGTCCAATTTTGGCTAAAATTTTGTTAAAATTTAAATTTATTAAAATATTTATTATTAACTAATTAACTAATTATTAACTATATGTATACCTGATAATGATGATTCAAAATAAATACAAGTAATAATAAAAATAACAGTTAAAATCAATACTATTTTGTTTATCATTATTATTATTATTATCGTTGAAATTTAAATAATAAGTTTGTTTTAAATATAATAATAATTTTTTTTATCAATTACTACTATTAAGCAAAATAAATTAAATGGGTTTTTCAAATTTATTAAAAATTTATAAATTATTTAATTAAATATCTAATTATGTTTTATAAATACTAAAAAAAATTAAATTAAATATGGCTTTCAGTTTAACGATAACTTATGGGTATTAGAAATAAAATTTATAAGTAATAAAATTTATATATTATATTATATATAATAAATTAAAAGTTATAGTTTGTAGTTGAAATATGAAAAATTAATTTAATAAAAGTTATTTATTTATTTTTAAAAAATTCACTTAGAAGTCTGTATTTGTTATATTTTGTTTAATATTTATTTTTTTAAATTAAAAAAAATTGGCTACTTTTATCTATCGTAACTTATTGTTTTTAGGTTAGATAAAAAAAATGATAATCCGATTTGGGCTAAACAGGTTTACCCCCTATACCCCCCCTTCCGCAACAATTAATAATTTATATTAACAACTAAAATAGTTTATTTCAATTGTAATTTCAATTATTTTAGTTTCATATTTAATTAAAAAACAACTGTATATTTAAATTAATAAGATATAATTTTATTTTATTATAAAAACTTTATTTTTTTTGTTATTAAGTTAATATTTCCAACAACAAAAAATACTAAAAATAATTTATAATATATATATATATATATTTATATAACATTTAGTATATATTCTACTTTAAAAATAATTAGAAATAATAATTTAACTTTTATTTTGACTAATATTATGTTTAATAATAAATAAAATGAGACAACACCCGGCGCCGGGCCATACATACGGTGTGGACAAGTGGTTAAACTGTATAATAAATTAGTTTTCTATTGTTGGCATTTATTTTTGATCAATTAATTTACTTATAATATGGTAATAATAATAATTAAAAATTAATAATAAATATTTTTATTTTATTTATTAATTAAATATTTTTATTTTATTTATTAATTAAATATTTTTGTTGTTATTTTGACAGTTTGTATTTCAAACAACAAAACTGTTTTCATTAGTTTTATAGTTAATTAAAATATTGGTAAAAATTATTTGATTCAATTGTAGAATATTATACTTAATCATCTATCAAATAAAATTAATTTATAAAATTTTTTATTAAACAAATATAATTATTTTAATTATTAATATCATATATTTAAACAATATTACTTATATAATTTATTACTTTAAAGTTATTAAAATTACAAAAATACATTATAAAGCATAATTTGTTTTATATAAAAATACTATAATTTATTTTAATTTTATTTGCTATAATTTTAAAAATATTTTAAATTGTAAATTCTATATTTAATTAAATAACTATCTAATTATAATTTTAGTTAAAAAAAATTAATATTTAATTTTTTATTAAAAATATTATTTTAAAAAAGTTAAATTGATTATTTAAATAAGTCATATTTAAATAATAAGAATATATTTAATTATTATTTAATAAATTTTATACTAATAATAATAATGATAATCACTTTATATCATTAACGCTAAATAATTATAATTGTTAAAAAAAATTTCAACAATATAATGCAAACTATTTATTTATTAATTATTATAATTTTTTAATTATTGCAATTATTACAATAATATATTAATAGCTTTATATATGTTTCTTCAAATTAGTTAAACAAATTGATTAGTTATTTATTTTTTTAGGATGCATTTCTTTGTTAATCCAATCGAGAAAAGCGGATACTTTAGTAAAGACAGATGGAATTCCAGTAGAACCGCAATATCTGCCAAATGAAGTTATACCAGCAATGAGCCATTCACCTCTATCATTTTTACAGTTTAATGGTCCCCCACTATCTCCCTTACAGGTACTGTTTGTACGTTCATCGTCATAATAGCCGGCACATATTTGTGTTTTTCTGTCTAACGAATCATCATATAATTTGCTACAATTTTCAAAGTCATAAATCGGTAGAACGACTTCTTGTAAAATTTTTGACGAATTTCCATCATATTTAAGGTTACCCCAACCAGTTGCCACACAATCTTGTTTAGAGTTCAAGATAAAATCTTTATCAGGCAAATGAATAACATCAAGTCTAGTAAGTTTATTGAATTCTAAGGACTTGTTTAATTTTATTAATGCTATATCGTTAATGACAGTTTTATCAGAATAATTAAGATGCATGAACACCTGTTTTATGGAATATATTTTTTAGAATTATTTTAATTAACAATATATGAAATATAATTATAGAAATTAATAATTAAAAAATAAAATCATACATTATCTTTGAATACATTTATCGAGAATTTTGTCGCCGCCTCTATATCTGTATCATTTTCGCCAAATTTTAATACTATTTTTTCAATATTATTATCAAAACGATTAGTTATATTGTCAGAAAAACAGTGAGCAGCCGTCAAAATCCAGTTTTTGTTAATTATACTACCTCCGCATCCGTCAATATCATTAGGATAATGTATATCAATCATTACCATCCATGGCCAGGCCATATGCTGGGCATTTTGTCCGCCAACTATACGATTAGTTTCCCATTCATCGTATGTATAGAGTGATGAACCAAACAAACTCCCGGTATTTACCGCTATTCCTACTAATAATAGGAATAATATATTCATTTTTATAAAATTAATGCTAATATGAATAAAAAAATTTAAAAATTTATTTTTATAAAAATTAATAATCAGATAATAATAGTAAATTTTATACTATAATAATTTATCTAAGTATAAACTGTTGAAAATTTAATAGAAATTTTCATCTATTTATACGATTTGTTATTTAAAAAAATAGTAAAATTTTACAAAAAATTATTACCTAAAATCATTTATCATTTATGAATTGACAATTGATAATTTATTATCATAGTATTTTTTAAAAAAACATTTGCGATTTAAGTATAATTATTTAAATGTTTTGTTTTTTAATTTTATTGTTTTAACCATTAATTTAGTAAGTATTACAATTGTATTGCGTAAGTAAAAAAGTCAATAATTTTTTCCTATTTAAAATATGTTTCTAACAATTAATTAATTTAAAAAAAAACAAAAAATAACTATATCCTTTTGTGATTATTACTTGATTTCAGAGTGAGTAAAGATAGAATGGTGGAGTGGGGGGGGGTTAAAATAACAAAAATAAATGTATAATAACCTTGGTTGTGGGGGGGGGGTATAGAGTGGGGTTACAATTTATATTTGATTTCAAAAAAACTAACTTGATTGTTTTGTGTTATTTAGTATATTTATTTTTTTTTAGTTAATTTTAAACTCATTTATTATTTGTTTAATTTTTGTTGTTGTTGTTGTTGTTTAATATCAAATTTAATATCAAATTTTTAAAAACATAACAATAAAAATATGTAGTAGAACATTTTAATTTAGATAATAATAATTTTTAAATATATAAATTGTAACAATAGTCACAAAAAACATTATCAATTAATATTTACTAAAATTACAATTTAAAATCATTAATTTATTGTCAATTGGTAATTTATTATAAAAAACATTTGTGATTTAAATATAATGTTTTTATCTAATGTTTAAAATAGTATTAAGTAAGTAAAAAGTTAACATTAATCAATTGTCATATTTTATTTTCATGAAAATTTATTATCTAGTAGTTTTTTTAAAAAAACATTTGTGATTTAAATATAATTATTTAAATGTTTTATTTGTTTTCAAAATTTACTATATTACGTAAGTACAAAGTTAATAATTTTTTTACCTATTAAAAATATGTTATTAATAATTAATTAATTTAACCAAATAAAATAACTAAATACTTTTTTTTTATTATTACTAGATTTCAGTGTAAATATAGTTAGCAGGGTGGAGTAGGGGGGGGGTTAAAATAACAAAAAAATCTATAATAATCTTGGTTGTAGGGGGGGGGTATAGTGGGGTTGCAATTTATATTACATTTTTTTTAAAAAAAACTAGATTGTTGTGTGCTCAGTATATTTATTAATCTAAATAAGATTATATTTTGATATTTGAATTTATTAGTTTTTAATTTATTTAAAAACTCACTTATTATGTGTTTTATTTGCCAACAGCAAATTAATATTAAATTTTATCTAAATTAAAAAAAAATATAACCTCTTTACAACCCATCCCGAAATAATTAATAAAAAATATAAAATAATTATAAATGTAAAAGTATAAATTTTTTGATGGTATAATATTTTGATTAATTATCTAATGTTCGAACAAAATCTAATAATTAAAAAATAGTTATTAAATTTAAAAAACTAGTTTTGTTTTAAAGTGCACTTTAAAGCTAAATGTTAGCTAAATTTTAGTTAATTAATTAATTTTAATTGTTACACAACATTAAAAAATATTTTTTATTAACTAAAAATTTATAAATAAATAAATAAATGCTATTTATCATTAAAATATTTTATATAAAATACGGCATATACATAGGCGGCATATTGTATTTTGTTGGATATGGTTTTCCAACAATAATATTGCCCTTAAGTAATATTTGTATCACATAAAAATGGCTTCTGTATGACTACTAACCAACCCATCCTAAGTTGACCATAATTTTTTTTTTAAGACACCATTAGCCATTACCGTAACCGGCAAATATAAAAGTTATATATTAATTGCTATATTTAAAAAAAAAACTATTAGTACAAAATTTTTTTAAAAAAAATATTTGTTTACCCGAACCGATAGTCATATATATAGGACACATGTTGGCACTGTTTGCCGGTTACGGTGATGGTTAATGGTGTCCAAAAAAAATACTGTTAAAGTTAGGATGGGTTGTTGGTTAGTCATACAGAAGCCATTTTTAAGATACAAATAATATTTACGGCAATATTGTTATTTGGTAGACGATATTCACCAAAAATACAGGAGCAATTTAATTTATTTTTTAAAATTTAAAAAAGATTTTAATACTAAATATCAAAAATTTAATATAGCATAATTCAAAAATATTATATGGAAAATTATTATATATTTATTAAATAAAACATGATAATATAATAATTAATCATTATATAACATAGTAATACTGTATATATATATATATATATTTTTAAAAATATTATATATAAAGGTAGGCAAAATTGACACATTGTAAAAAAATGAAATTCATGATTAATTTTAAAATTAAAAAAAAATTATTATTATTTTTTAAAATGTATTAATTTGACAGTGTTACTATCTAGTATCTAAAGTTATCAACTAAAATTAATTTACATCAAAATATAAATATTATTTACAGTAATAAATTTACTTATACATATAAAAACATATATAAGTTTGTTTTTTAACCAATCCAATATAAATTGGGTACAACCCCACTTTATACTGTTACTACCACCAAGATTAATGTAGATTTTTGTTATTTTAATCCACACCCACCCCCCTCCCCTCTCACTATACCCTCACTAAAATCCAAAAAAAACCTAACGCAATTATATTTTTTTAGATAAGTATAATTCACAAAAATATAATTTTTTTAAAATTAATTAATTAATAATACGATTTTAAATAAAAAAAAATTATTAACTTTGTACTCCAAAAGTTTTCCAAAAAATATTTATGAATTTATGAATATCCTTCAATAAATGCAATCCATGGTAACTATCCCTTAATGGTGCTAACCGTCCGTAATGTATAGTACATATACAGTCACATTGGTTGACCATTTGAAACATTGTCGGCCAGTAGTAGTAGTAGTAGTCGTCGACAACAACAGTGATGACTGTCTGCCGATACCACACGTGTCGAGCGTTACGTTCGGGTATTGTTTGATACGTGAGTGCAAACCATTCACTAATACTATTAACACTAGATTTTTAAATATTAATAGTTATTATAAAATATAAAAAGTTTTGTTATAATAATAGTATTTAGTTATCTGTTAATTAATAATTATTAAATGCTTAGTATAGAAATATTTTATACTTAATAAATTTAGCAATTGGTGAATAAAATACATTAATCTTAATTTTATAAAATTATCAAAATAGAAAATTACTTTAATAAATTATTAATTTTAAAAATTTTATTATAATATAAATATTGTTAGTATATATTTTTAATTTTAAATTATTTATGAAAATTAATATTTATAATTTTTCATGTATTTGTTTAATACATTAAGATAACTGAAATGTTATATTAAATATATTTTTAAAAAAATATTAATTATATTGTTACAAATAGTATTTTTTTAATAAAAGTTGTAATAAAACATAATTCAAATTTATATATATATATATATTTTGAAATTTGATATATATTTTTCAGGGTATAATTGAAATAAATAATTTCATTAAATAAATTGATAATTTTAGTTACTAACTAAGTTAGTTAATTTCTATATAGTATATAATTGAATGTAAATAAATAAACAGTATTATACTTGTATATACAACAACTACTACTATTACTTTAAAAAAATTATATATCTATATTAATAATAATAATATTTATATACATATTGAATATATATATATATATATATATATATATATTAGGTATATTACTGCACACATAGGCGGCTCCTGTATTTGATTGGATATGGTTTACCAACAATAATAATATATGTGAGCTGTATGCTATGGCTTATGTATGACTAACCAACAACCCATCCTAAGTTGTCCAGTATTTCCAGTTGGACACCAGTAAAGCCATCAATCATACCGTTAGCGGCCAAACCGTATGTATGACCTTTCCGGGTGAGTGTTGTCTCAGATCCTGAACTGTACGTACAGTATATATATATGTTCTCTTAGGGCTTAAAAACATATGTATTGAATGTTAATACAGTAAATAATTAATATTTTTCTAAATTTTTTTTATTAGTATTTATATTTAAATTTTTTTTTAAAAAAACAGATAATAGGCATTAAATAAAATATTTAAAAAAATAAAACATTTTTATCTTTATTTAATAATAATAATAATATAAATTATTTAGCAAATTAAACAGGTGCAATTATTAAATATATTATTAGATTATATTAACTTTTATTTAATCATTATTAGTTATCGCAGTCCTTGTGTTCAATTGGGGCTAAATTATAGATAATAATAATATTAATAAACTATTAATTATTATTATTAGTAATTATATTTATTAGTAATTAAATTAATTATTAAGAAAAATTAAAAAATTTATAAATGTTTTTTTTTTGAAAATTATTAAAAATTTATTAAATAATTAATTAACTAAATATTTAAATTATGTTTTTCATAAAAAAAAACTCTAAATTTAAATTAAATAATGGCTTTCATCTTAACGATAACTTATGGGTATTTGATATAGAAAATACTTAAATAAATAAAAAAATTATATTATAATTATCATAAAAGTTAGGGTTTATAGTGATCCCCGTGAGAGGAAAGTTTCCAAATAAAATCCTTCCCAATTTTCTATTTCATTAGATGGGAAAATAATATATATATATATATATATATTAAATAATATCTAAAACTTAAATAATTTTTATAAAATTAATTTATAATATTAATTATTAGTATTTATAGAGAAATTATTATGAAGTTTTTATTGGGAATTTATATGGAATTTACTGTAAACTTATTGGTTACTTATTGGAAATTTATTGATTATCTATTGGGAATTTAGTAAGAATTTAGTTACTAATTTTAGTTACCCCCCTCGCCCCCTATACCCCACTGAGATCGAAAAAATTTAGCAACCCTGATATATATATATATATATATATATATTATACTTAAATAATATCTAAAACTTTATATATTTGTTAGTATAAAATTAATTTATAATATTAATTATTAGTAACTATTATTTATTAATTTAATGTTAATTAATATAACTTTATGTCTACCCTTATCTATATTAGATGGTTGTTGTGGTGGTGTTGGTGTTGGTGTTGGTGTTGGTGTTGGTGTTGTTGGTGATCCTTCAAAGCATGTTGAATTGTGTACACATTGGCCACCCGTATAGTTTCGTACATACGGTTCCTTACAAACACAACCGGACATACACATTAATTTACAACGTAACGGTCCGATTCCGGTACGTAAATAATCACAGGTTTCGGGACATAGAGTACCACATCTTCTGTACTCCTCTTTCAATGGATCGCAATCTTTGGGTCCAATTTTGGCTAAAAATTTTGATAAAATTTAAATTTATTAAAATATTTATTATTAACTAATTAACTAATTATTAACTATATGTATACCTGATAATGATGATTTAAAATAGATAGAATTAATAATAAAAATAACAGTTAAAATCAATACTATTTTGTTTATCATTATTATTATTATTATCGTTGAAATTTTAATAATAGTTTTATTAAGACAATATTGAAATTTAAATAATAAGTTGGTTTTATTTTTTTTTAAAAAAAAAATTACTACTAATAAGCAAAATAAATAAAATGGGTTTTCAAATTTATTAAAAATTTATAAATTATTTAATTAAATATCTAATTATGTTTTATAAATACTAAAAAAAATAAAATTAAATATGGCTTTCAGCTTAACGATAACTTATGGGCATTTGTAATTAAATGCATAAGTAATATATATTATATTATATAAATTAAAAGTTATAGTTTGTAGTTGAAATATAAAAAATTAATTTAATAAAAGTTATTTAATTATTTAAAAAAAATAAATTATAGAAGTTTGTATTTGTTATATTTTGTTTAATATTTATTTTTTTAATTAAAAAAATTTTTGGCTTTTTTTTATCTATCGTAACTTATTGTTTTTTAGGTTAGATAATAAAAATCATAATCCAAGTTAGGCTAAACAGGTTTACCCCCTATACCCCCCACCTTCCGCAACAATTAATAAAAACTAAAATAGTTTATTTCAATTGTAACTGTTTATTTTAGTTTCATATTTAATTAAAAAAAACTATGTTATATTTAAATTAATAAGATATAATTTTATTTTATTATAAAAACTTTATTATTTTTTTGTTATTAAGTTAATATTTCTAACAACAAAAAAATACTAAAAATAATTTATAAAAATATATATAACTTTATATACAGCATATAGTGAACAACCACTTGTCCACACCGTATGTATTGCCCGGCGCCGGGTGTTGTTGTCTCCGGATTCTCCCGACTGTATGAATAGTATATTAAAAACATAATATTAGTTAACAAAAAAAAAGTCTAACTATTATTTCTAATTATTTTTAAAACTACTAATAATAAAATTAATAAATTTTTAATAATAATAATAATAATTATTTTATTTATATTAACAATAATAATGATATTAAATAAATTACCGAAATATTTATATTGTTTTTTAGCATTTAATTGGTTTACAATCAGTTGCTGTTGGTTTAGGATCGATACGGGGTCTCAATAGTCAATATACCGCACGAATCTATACGGGGAGGTCACCCGCTGGGGGGGGGGTCCGAAACCGGCGGGTAAATCATATTTTTTCCAGCCAACCCTCGTGACTGCATTCCCGGTGTTTGGCTTTTAATTACCGGACACTGGCCAACAGTTTTCACCGAAATCACTTCCCGAAGGCCCGATGCGGCGACAATTGACTACTCGTACGGCTGTTATTAAGTTAATATTTTTTTTTAAAAAATACTAAAAATAATTTATAAAATATATATATATATATATACAGCATATAGTGAACAACCACTTGTCCGCACCGTATGTATTGCCCGGCGCCGGGTGTTGTTGTGTCCGGATTCTCCCGACTGTATGAACAGTATGTGTAATCTATCGGGTGTTAAAAAAAACATAATATTAGTTAACAAAAAAATAAGTCTAATTATTATTAAAAACTACTAATAATAAAATTAATAAAATTAATTTTAAATAATAATAATAGTATAGATAAAAAATTAATAATCAGATTAATTTGTAAATTTTATAATTAATTTAATAAGTATAAATTGTTGAAAATTTAATAGAAATTTTCATCTATTTATACAATTTATGATTTACAAAAAAACAATAAAATTTAGTAAAATTGTTGCTTAAAATTAATTAATTAATCAGTATTTTAAAAAAACATTTGTGATTAAATATAATTATTTAAATGTTTTGTTTTTATTTAAAATGTGATTTTTAAAATAATTAATCTTGACAAAAAAACATACTTTTTAAAAAAAAAAATATATTGTGTAACATACCTGTCAGGGTGATAGTGGCGGACCATTAAATTGTCGATTAGGTAACGGTGCCTGGGTTGTTGCTGGCATCACTTCATTTGGAAGAGGATGCAATTCTACTCAACACCCCGATGTTTTTACTAAAGTTACCGGTTATCTCGATTGGATTAACTCAGCATTAGAATCTAATTATTAGTTTTATTAACTGATAATTATAATAATATAAATACTATATATATATATATATATATATATAGTACAATATTTATTATTATTATGACTGAATTTTTCGGAAAATTTAATAAATAAAATCAATTATTTGCATTAAATTGCATGTGTATTTTTGTTTTTGATTGTACCATTGAAATTTAATAGTATTAACTAATTATATTAATTATTAGTGATTTCTGTGTATAAGTCAGTTACTGTATTTAAAAAATATTATTATTATCATTTAATTTACCTATTGTATACATTGTTGGTATTTTTCATGTTTTTTATTATTTAATTTTTAATAATTTTTATAAATAAATTTATGTTCGCTATAATTAATTAATATATATATATCGATAATACCTGATGATGACAATTTAATATATAAAAAAATTAGATTATAAATAATATTTACAATCAATATTGTTTTGTTTATTATTATTATTATCTAAATAAATAAAACAATAATTTGGTTTGAAATATATAATATTTAAAAAAAATATTTTATTACTATTATAAAAATTGTTATAAAATAATTTACAAATGGCATTTAAAATTTATTAATTTATTTAACTAATTATTTTAAAAAACATAAAAAACATAAAAATTTAAATTAAATATCATTTTCAGATTAAATGTAACATATAAAATAAAAAACATTATTATATTAAATAATTAAGTAAAAAAAATATATTCAATTATGTTAATATAAATGAGTATAATTTAAAACATCATTAAATAGTTTTAAATAATTATATAGTTATATATATTATTCATTATAAACTAATATAATTATAAATATATTTAATATTTTCGTACTAAATAATTAAAATATTTTATATAAAATACAATTTTGATAGCTGAAAGCCATATTTAATTTAATTTTTTAGTTTATATGAAACATAATAAGATATAAGTAAAATAAATTTTAAATGCCATTTGTAATTTTTTTAGCTTAATAGTAGTCATAAAATAATTGACAAAAATTATTATATAATTAAGTAAAACAAATTCCGATAATAATGATGAACAAAATAATATTCACTGTAACTGTTATTTTAGTTATTAATTTTGTCTTTATTGAATTATCATCATCAGGTAATATTATTATATATTATTTATATTAATTAAAAAAAATAAAATAATTTGAAAATAATGTAGCTAATACTATTATATATTATCTGTTTTAATTTTAATTTGAACATAATTTAACTATCTAACTTCACTTTATAGTAATAATATATATATTTTTAAATAATATTATTAAATTTTTTTCAATAAAACATTTTTATACAACTAGGTAAATTAATTATAATAATTATTCATATTTAAAAAAAATATTTATATCCCGTTTTGGACAAAAGGACTGCGATCCAGTGAAAGAGGAGTACACCGACTGTGGAACACTATGTCCCATAACCTGTGAACATATACGCACCCGAAAATACTCGGATATTTGACCAAATAACTGTGTAAACGGCTGTTTTTTGTAAGGAATCGTATGTAATGGACGGTGGCCAATGTGTACACAAATCAACATGCTTAAAAGTACCAGCAGCAGCAGCAGCATTGCCAGCACCAAAATAATTTTGTTGTTTTATAAAAATAACTTCTATCATATAAATTATTACAGTTTTTTTTGTTTGTTTAGAAATCATAACTGTATATTAATTTATTATTTAAAATTTCTATTTTTGTAATATTCTATTTAATCTTTTAAATACTAATAAAAAAAATTTAAGTTTTAATAATTATTTTAAAAAATATATAAATTATATTAAATTAAAATTAAAAATAATTCGCAGACCCCTATTATTTCGGCAACCAATGATTGGACAACAAAATTACAAATAGTTAACATGTACATATCATAGTTGCACATCATAGGTCCCGTCGGTTGACCCGTTCCCGCGAGATATACCCGATAAAACACGGAATCTTTAGGTATGCCTTGAGAACTGTTCAATGAAACTTAATATTATTTAGTAATAGTAGTATTTTTACCCCAATTAAACAAAAAGATAATAATAATAATTGCTAATAATAATAATAATTAATATTAAATATTATTCTCTCTCTCTCTCTCTCTCTCTCTCTCTGTATATCCAAATAACTTAATAATAATTTTGTTCCTAAAAAATCATTTATTTGTATTCAAATTAAAGTTTTTTTTAATAAAAAAATATAGATATTATAATTAGATTATTATAAAAATAAATTTTTTTTACATTTAATTTTGAGAAAAAAATAGTTCATTATATCAATTTCCTTATAGTAATATCTCTATTTAATAATAATAATAATTGTTATAATTTTAATATTAAACCGGGTAAGATTATACAATTATTTTTGGTGGTGGCGATGCTACTGGTGCTGCTGGTGCTACTGGTGCTGCTGGTGCTACTGGTGCTGCTGGTGCTACTGGTGCTGCTGGCGATGCTGGTGCTACTGGTGCTGCTGGCGATGCTACTTTTAACAAGCATGTTGAATTATGTACGCATTGGTTACCGTCCAATACATACGATTCCTTACAGAAACAGCCGGATATACACGTTAGATAGCAATCATTATAGTAGCTACCGGTGCGCACATTATCACAGGTTAGGGGACAGATATTACCGCAATCGTTGTATTCCTCTAATCCTGAATCACAATCGTTGGGTCCACGAGGGTCTAAAAATATTTAAATATTTCAAAAAAAATTTATTATTATTATTAATATTTCCTATTAGTCTACATATTGTACAAAAAATTGTTGATATAAATGTTTTTTTTTAAATATATATATATATTATGTTTTTTTTGTTCAATAATTATTCACAAATAATAAATTGTTTGAAATAATTCTAATAATTTTTTTGCAATTAATTAATTTATATATATAATATTTATTATAAATTTATTATAATTAATTATTATTAATCTATCTTGTATAAATTGTTGATATAAATGTTTTATTGGAAAAAATAAAATTATTTTTTTTTAAATAATGATTATAAAGTTATATAGTTACTTTATGTTCAAATTAAAAAAATAAATTTAATTAATTTAGATAATATATAATAATAATACCTGATGATGCTAATTCAATATAGAATAAATTAATAATAAAAATAACAGTTAAAACCATTATTATTTTGCTCATTATTATTATTATGAAAATTTAAATGTTTTACTTAAAAACAATTGATAATTAACTTGATAATTTGGTTTTAAATATATAATATATATTTTTAAAAAAAATTATTTAATAACTACCATTAAGCAAAAAAAATAATTTACAAATGGCTAATAAAAACTTATAAAAAAATTATTAATTTATTTTATTAAATTATCTAATTATGTTGTCATAAAAACTTAAAAATTAAATTAAATATGGCTTTCAGCTAACATATTGGATATTTGAAATAAAATATTTAGTATGAAAATATTAAATATAAGTATAATTATATTAATGTATAACACAAATAATATATATACATATAGCTAAATAAATATTGTTTTATAAAATAAAAATAAATAAATCAAAATAATTCAAACAATTAATAAATCAATACATAAACTAATTTTTATAAAAATTAAAAAATTACTAAATAAAATTATAAGAAGTTAAAATATGATATTATTATTATTATTATAACATTGCTAAATATGTGAAAAAATATATTCAACAATTATATGAAAATTGATTGTCAAAAAAATCGATAATTTTGTCAAATCATAGATATTGATAATTTTTATTTTAATAAATATCAGATTTATGTATTGATTTATTAATTGTTTGGATTTTTTTATTTGTAAAACAAATCAGTGGCCATACTGTGGGCGCTGTTTGGGTCCCAACTACCCAATAGATACTAATAGATACATAAAGTACTATATTATATGATTTTTTAATTAATAACAATTTTTTTTGATAATAAAATTATTTAATTTTTAATTAGTTAATATATACCAGTTTAATATATCTTTATTTTTTAATAGTATTATTAAATAAAAATTAATTTTAGAAAACATTTTTCAGTATTGAGAAATTAAATTGGAAATATTTTTATTAGGGAAATTTATAGAGAACTTATTGTTAACTTATCATGATAAATTTATATGCAAATTTGTGGAATTTTAGTGGGAATTAAGTGGGAATTTAATAGGAATTTAGTGGGAGTTTACTAAAATTAGAAAAAATTGTATTTGTAAAATCATAAATTATTACGGTTAATTTTTTTGATTAGAAATTCATAACTGTATATTAATTTATTATATAAAATTTCAATTTTTGTAATATTCTATTTAATACTTTAAATACTAATAAAATTTTTTTTTTAAATATTTTATGTTTTAATAAGTTATTTAATTAGAATATATGTAAAACATTTTTTTAACCTAAAGTATTACTGTATTTACTCGCACCAAACAATTAAAAAAAACCATTTTTTATTAACTTATAAAAATTTTGATTCAATTGTTGCATACAATTTAATTTTAAAGTAATTTACAATATATTAACCGTCTAACCGTTTCCGATATATTTAATTTAATATCAGATTGGTTACCCCGTTTCCGCGAGATATACCCGAAAAAACCCAATTTTGTTGTCCAATCATAGGTTCTGCGGAATAATAGGAAATCCCGGTTTTTACTGTATATCTCGGGAACGGGACGGGACAATGATGTTAAATGTTTTATAACTAATATGTAAAAGTTTACTATTGGTAAATTTGTAGACTATTAAAAAAATCAATCATAAAATGACAACTACTATATATATATATATATATATATAACAATTCTATGATAAGTAAGTTAAAAATAATTAATATTTATTTATTTATTTTATAAGTATTAATATTTTTTTTAATTATTATCAATACTTGAATAGTTGAAAAATCCAAGGATTTATTTAATCCATAAAATTGATTATCCAAATGAAAGCAATCTATTGCTTATAAGCGCATCACTTATGGTATAAATTAATAGTATTTTGTGTTATTATTGTAAAAATATATAAGAAATGGTTTCACAAAATACCGGTAAATACTAACCAAATGATGGCTAACATCGATGTCAACGACAACAACAGTATTACTACTACTAGTGATGATAATGTTGTAGTCACACAACAGTCTATGCAATTCAAGGCATTGGATGACTATTGGTATCTAAAATAGGAAGTCATTTACATCGACAACAACAACGACTTCATTGGTGTGAATGTTAGTCAAAACCATTAAAAAGATATAGAAATTAATGATTATTATCAGATTTTTATTTAAAATGTTTTTTATTTTTTGCTGAATAATATTATCAAATTAACATTAATATAATAATAATAGTATTAATTATATTTATATAATATATTAATTAATAATGAACTGTATTATAGATTAAATCCAAAATGTCTATTAATTCTAAATACTGTATATAAATATATATATATATATATATAATATATAAATATACAGGTAATTTAAATTATATAGAAACAAAAATTAAAAATATACATATTATATATATTTCAAAACATGTTAATAACAATAATTGAATAATAATAATAGTTTTGTTGTTTATTGATTGCTATTAATTGTATTGACTATCCATTGGACAGCAGATGACAACCGAGTAAATGCCATTTTAGAGTCAAACTGTCGGCTCAAACACCAACCTACTTGACCTGCTATACCGCTCTGTATACCGATAAGTACGGCCCGATTGCCGACAAACTGTATCAATGGTCCGCCAGAATCACCCTTTAAATTAATAAAAACATTTATATTTCAATATTATATATATCAATATAATAAATATATACAGTATATTAATTAATATAATACTACTAAAATTGTTAACAAAAATTTTCCCCCCCTCTCTCTCTCTCTCTCTCTCAATTGATGTAATTAAACAAATATATCAAAAAATTATTAAATATTTACAATAAACTATATTATTTTTTGAAATTAATTAAAACTTAGACTAAAATCAAAATAATTTTGTATATAAATAAAAAAAATAAGTGTAAAAACGTTAATGATAAAATAAAACAATTATTTTTAATATTTTAATTATTTATAACTAATTATTTTTTTTTTACTTTAATCATAATTATTTTTTTAAAAAATAATTGTTAATATTTTTAAATTTATATACAGTATATTTATATATATATATAGTATATATTTTATACTGTATTACCAAACACATAGCGGCTCCTGTATTGTGAGGATATCGGACCACAACAACAATATTAGTGTACGGAAAGGCTGTATCGTATGGCTTAACAATGACAGTCTAACCCATCTTAAGTTGACCAGTATTTCGGTCGTCATCGCCAGTAGTCGATCCGTAACCGGCAATCAATGCCAACTCCTGTTCCGTATTCATTATATTAGGTTCGGGTAAACAAATACCGTTTATCTGTTGTCCAAACCATAAACCCGGTGTCGGTATTGTTGTCGTTGGTATCGGTATTTGTGATTTCAATTTGACGACTGCTATATGGTAAGCCCGTTTGGATTTCCCAGTAGACGTCCAGTTGGGATGATTGAACCACTTGTTCACACCGTATGTATGGCCCGGTTGTCTCAGATCCTGAACTGTGCGTACAGTATATGTTCCTTCGGGTCTTAAAAATATTAAATTAATTATTATTATTATTATTATTAAAATTGAGTATTTAAAAGTTTATATATAAGTATATATATATATATATAAATTTTATTTATCATTATATATAACGTATAATAATTATTAATTATAATTAAACAAAAAATGATAAATTACTTAAAATAATGTGCGGCTGTTATAATCCATTTAGCATTTAATACAACTGCACCAATAACTGTAAATTTTATATTGAATATTAAATATTAAAAAATAAATAAATATTTTTTGTAGTTTAGAATAATGAAAATCTTAAGTCTATAAATTAATAATTAGTATTTTAATATTGAATTATATTAATTTCAATTTATTTTGTCTATTAATTATTTATTAATTTAAATTTTGAATTAAATTTAATTAAATTATAAATACGTTTTAGTTCTCCAAAATCCCCAAAAATATTCAGATCCTTCAATATATGCAATCCATGGGAACTCTCCCGGAAGGGCTAACCGTCCGTTTTGGACACTACTTGTAGTCTCATTGGTTGACCATTTGAAACATTGTCGGCCAGTAGTAGTAGTAGTAGTAGTAGTCGTCGACAACAACAGTGACGACTGTCTGCCGATACCACACGTGTCGAGCGTTACGTTCGGGTATTGTTTGATACGTGAGTGCAAACCATTCACTAACACTATTAACACTAGATTTTTATAGATTATAGTTATTATAAATTATAATAATAGTTTTAATATATATATATATATATTTATTTATTTTTGATATAAATACTTAGATTATAAAATTTTTTTTAATACCTAATAAATAAAAAAATAAAAAATAAAATACATTTATGTTATTACAAAAATGTTATTATAATAAAATTTTTTTTTTACTATATTAAATTTTAAATATTACTTAAATAATATATTTTACTGATAATTTCATATAATAAACTTAATATTTTGATGTATTTATTATATAACTGATGTTATGTGATATTTGATTTTTTTTAAAAATTTTGGAAAACTATAAATTATTTTTTTTACTTTTTTTACTAATACTAATTTGCTTAATAATAAAATATTTGATATTATTTAAATAAAAATTTATAATTATAATACTAACATATGAATTATGATAATTTTTGTGCTATATTTAAAAAAATAATAATTGCATTAATAAATAACTAATTTAATTAAATTTAATAATTTAATTTGATTTTTTTAAAAAAAATATAATTTAATATCTAATTAATATTTTTTTAAAATTTATATTATATTTTTTATTATTTTGAATTAAATAATTTTTTGAATGATAATGTTTTTAATGAATTTAAATATCTGTCAATTTTTAAAAAAAAAATTATTAACTACTAAAGTTTTTTGCTTAAAATATTATAAAATTAAAGTATTAATAGCATATTAATAGTTTTAATTATATTTATATAATATATTAATTAGTAATAAACTTTTATTATAGAGAATAAATCCAAAATGTATTATAAATTTAAATATATATATATATATATATATTATTTAAATATAATATAAATTATATTAAAACAAAAATTATAAATAAATGTAGTATATAACTAACTATAATATAATATACTAATATACGGTACTATAACTATTTAACTATAATATATTTTTAGTATTTAAATTTATAACAGTATATAT